GTCATTGTGCTTTCATAATGGCAAGTCAAGGCAAGTTTATTTGTATAGCACAATTCATACACAAGGCAACTCAAAGTGCTGAACAAAATAATCTCTCTGAGTGGCCACAGTCAAAGCTCTACCTCAGAGAGAAAGTACGGCGACACTTTTGGGTCAGTCTCAGCTGAATGTATCAATCTAATTACTAAAAGACGTCACTAAAACTCACCACAGCCATATCGATAGCACAGACAGGAAGTAAACGAGCTGTTCTTTGTTTACAGGAAATGACGTCACGCCTCCCCGTGCATGTAGCCCATTGTGTCCCCAAAGTTCACTAAAATTGTTCTTGAAATGGTTTTGAGCCCATCTCAGACTATACTCATAGTATTGAAGAATTATCATTGGGTACAATTAGGTGGGGCGACAGTGGCTCAGTTGGTAGAGCATTGGCCTTTGGGCCTGAAGGTTGTGGGTACGAGCCCACCACAAGACCTGCTTCCTCAATCCCACTGAAGTCTGCTGTTGTTGTGTCCTTGGGCATGACTCTTAACCCCACTTTGCCTGAAGCCCCTGCTGGAAGATCAAGGCTCCTGTGGACTCACCACCTGCAGGAGGATCAGTAAGGGGCCAAGTAAACTGGGTGCAGCTCTGACTGCCACCCCCCGACCCAGAAATTGGCTAAGGGGTAAAAAATGGATGGATATTAGGTACAAAATTTTTTTGGATCATACATTTATTTTATTGTCACTTGAAGTTATTGACCCATGATTAAGATCAATTTGTCCCACAGCGGGGAAATTTCAGTGTTGTATTACAAGTGACAAAAATAAAACAAATCTCTAACTCTGGCATCAAAGAAACAAGTATAAAATCTCCATCTTTTGCATAATAAAGATGTATTAGTTTAGCATGGAGAGAGCCATCGGGTCGTCTATCTACCTGTCTATATATGTACCTATCTATCTACGTATCTATCTATGAACTTATCTATCTATCTAAAGTTAGGTTCCCCAGCTTTAACTACACTGAGAGCACACTAGCCTCTGCTGCTGTCCTCTGTATCATTCATACCCAGTGCATTCCTCCTCCAGCTTCACACCCGTCTGCCAGGCCTCAAACAGACCCGGCCTGTCTCTGCTCTGATTGGCTGGAATGTGATGAGTCCGCCACCGTCTCCTCGCTGGCTCACCGGTTAAAGGAGAGCGGCGTGCCTGACATTCTCACGTGGACACAGACTTTCATTTAGAAGACGGTGAGAAGGCCCCGCGGGCTGGGGAATCTACAGTGTTTTTATGTGCGAGAGAGAGCGGGAAGCCAGGTGTGGAGCCAGAGGTATTCAGGGCCCGGGGCGCATTTAGCCAAACACTACACTTTTATTGGTTGGCTTCTTGATTTAAATTAGAGCTGCACGTTTCTAAATATGTGATTGCAGGTTTATTGCAATTTGATTATTTGATTTATGTGCAGCACGGTGCCTGAGTGGTTAGCCTGCTTCTTTCAATTCAATTCAATTCAATGTATTCTTGTATAGCCCTAAATCCCAACAGTAGTTATCTCGGAGGACTTTAAACAACCGTTGAGTTCAAACACAAGAAACAAAACAGAAAACACATTGGTATTTGTCCATAAGGGGCAGATAACCAATGTCCATAAAGGTTCTAAGAAAAAAAGGTCCTGGTTCAATTCCACATTTGGACAAGGCCTTTTCGAGTCAGATTCTTTATTGATACCAGACGACAATTCATTTGCAGCAGAAACATACAGACTCAACACAAACACACAGTGAGTCTGCATGTCCTCCACTCATGCAAACGACCAGCATAGGTTTCCTCCAGGTGTTCCGGTTTCCCCTACCACTAAAAACATATCTCACACAATATCTCCCCTCTTTCTTGGGTGAGGAGTCCCCAGTAAAACAGATTCTGAAATCTCAGTTGAACTTTCTGATTAAATTTACCACACCGTACAAGATGGCTGATGCCGCCACAGAGTCATTGAAGGTCAGAGGTATAAAGGGGAAAAAAGGTTGAAACTGTAAGAGCGCAACACGACACCATAAATATGTATTTCTAATCAATAACTAGTTAGTACCTCTGAAAACAATCTGGTTCCATCATTATTGATTACCTGCATGCATTGATTACCTACATGCATTCTTTTGGTCACACCTTTAGATCTACTATTTTTGTAAAAATAACACTGTTACATCAATGAAAACAGCTGTTGTTGCGGTGGGGAGTTCCACAGGGCTCTTAACTCGGCCCTTTTGAGTTTGACGACACACAACCAGCTGCTAACAGTGGGAATGTTGACAAATACGGGACTTGTAAATTCAGAAGAAACTCACCAACACTCTGTCGGCTTGTTATTCTTGTCTTGTTTAATGTGTCTCTCTGTGTCACAAGAAGTTTCTCAAGCGATTAAATAAATACTTTTTGAATCAATTAAAAGTTATAAGAGTAAAAATAGGTATGCATGCATAAATATCTTCATTAAAAGTTTACGGCTACACAAAAGTACACGCAAAAATGACAATAGCAAAAATGACAAAAGCAAAAATGACGGTCTTACGGTTTTTTTATTATCATTTTATGTGTAACCAATAAAAAAATTCTCCTAATCTCTTTTGTTTTTTTCTTTCTTCAGAACTGGCATCAACTGTATCAAGGTAACACTACTTGAATCCAGGCTTTTATTCTGTGCCAAACCAGGCCACAGTGAGTCTGCATTCACTTTCCTTTGGATGTGGTCTCTGGGCTCATCCTAAATGTCAATCGCTACCATGTGCTGAGGTAAAGCTCTGTGGTCATTATTCCAAATACGTTTATTTTTAGCCTGATTTTTGCAGTGGAACTTTGTGAGAGATGGACTAGAAAGGCCTTGGTGTGAGTTTTATGACCTGTCAATGAGCCTCCATTACAGGACATTAGCGCAAGTAAAGCTGTTAAAATTGTTTGTTAGCTACACACTCTCAAAACAGCCCAAAGCTATAAAAAAAGTTTATTGGACCTGTTTCTACTTTAAAGTGAGACCCAAATTCAAAGGTATTTCACATGAAAATCTGATGAGGATTGCATTTCTATAAGGAAACTTAAGACACTAAGTGTTTTTTTTGTTTTTGTAAGTATCAAACCAGGAAGTGACCAATTGCATTATCAATTCATACAGAAAAAGTTTTGTGTGCGTGTGTGTGTGTGTGTGTGTGTGTGTGTGTGTGTGTGTGTGTGTGTGTGTGTGTGTGTGTGTGTGTGTGTGTGTGTGTGTGTAGGTCACTGCTATGTCTAGATAATGTAGTTATCGATGTTTGTGACAGTACTGACTGAGTACAGTGTACTGAGCCGATAAAGTAATATTACACAAGTTGACAGCCAAAAAATGGTCAGGGGTTTCTCAACTGATTTTGGTGTTCTGAGTCCGAATATCACATGCATTTTGCTCTATCAGGTCAACTTTGTGAGATACAGCCATAGTGTTACGGATTATGTACGTCTACGTTATTATGAGGAGCGACAGTAGCTCAGTTGGTAGAGCATTGGCCTTAAGGCCAGAAGGTCGTGGGTTCATTTCCCACCTCTGCACCTTCTCCACCGACTCCCACTGATGACTGCTGTCGTTGTGTCCTTGGGCAAGACACTTAACCCCACTTTGCCCAAAGCCCCCGCTGAAAGATCAAGGCTATTCTCACACTCAGAGCAGCCGTCCTCCTGTGGACTCACCACCTGCAGAGGGTCAGTGAGGGGCTGGTGCTATGAGACTTGGGTGGCATCTCTGACTGCCACCCCCCTGACCCAGAAATGGATTAAAGGGTAGAAAATGGATGGATGGATGGACGTTATTATGAATTCTGCTTATCAAATTTGATGGAGTAAATAAAAACGGAATGACTTTGGATACGTTGACTTTTATTTCTTGAGGAAAACGGAAAAAACGTCAAGGGTTTCTCAGCTGATGATCCGCAGAAATTTGTTTTTTACGCAAAATCGTATTTCTGTAGCAAAAAATCCTGACCTGATTGAGCAAAACCAAGGTCATTTTCGGACTCAGAGCATCAAAATTAGTCTAATTCAGCTGGAAAACCCAGGACTATTTTCAAAAAATATTTTTTGTTACCCAGTGTTATTATTGCACATTCTAACATTATTTCAGTATTGCACATCATTAGTGTAGGTGGTTATGTGTTCGTAACTCTGCATGTCTGTGTGTGTTTGAGAAAGAACTACAGAAAGTAAACACGCAGCAGACACAAAAGAACGGTCTGTGGACTCTGCTCACACCTGCTCTAAAAACACCAGGAGAAAAGAGCCTTCATCTGCTGCATTCCCTCCCATCTTCACCTCTGACACACGCACACACACACTTACATAATACATACACACATGCACAACACACAGGCACACACATAAACAACACACGCACAGATTTGAAGTGTTAATAATAATAACCGTTATTTCATGGGATCTTTTTTAACAACCTTACTCTAAAACTCAGATTTTGTAACATCCAAAATCAAGTAGATGGAAATTTACCTTTTATTATTTAAAACCCTAAATTCAAGCCATCGAGATTAGCGTTACATGACTTAAATCACTACATTTTCAGCTATTATCGGTGCATTTAAAGATTTCTTCCCACCTCGATTAGTTGCATGACCTAAATCTATAAGTGGACCTCTACTTCACAGGGACATTTAAGAAGCTAGTCCTTACAATCTGCATGTGTAGAAAATGTAGTCCCCATTTTGTTACAAAAACCTTCTCTCTCTCTCTCTCTCTCTCTCTCTCTCTCTCTCTCTCTCTCTCTCTCTCTCTCTCTCTCTCTCTCTCTCTCTCTCTCTCTCTCTCTCTCTCTCTCTCTCTCTCTCTGTCTCTCTCTCTCTCTCTCTCTCTCTCTCTCAACTCCCCTAATGTTTTTCTTCATGTCTTGCCGAAACTTGACTCTGGCCCATGACTCAACACTGCAGATGAATGTGACGGGGCAGGAGTAATGGATTCTGGGTAATGTGATCTTCTGGTCGAGCTTCAGGTGCCGTTGGAGGCTTTGAAGTGACGCGTCCTCATGTGCTGCGTGTGGATCTCGCTCGCGGACTCAGGACTGTACACGGCTCCGATGACAACTTGTTTTTGGCGAACCCTTATGGCACGTGTCAAGAAGGTTTGGAAAGGTTCAAATCATTTGCATTTTTTGGTTTTACAGTCTATGCACACACACACACACACACACACAGACGCACACGTACACATGCGCACACAGACAACACACGCAAACGCACCTTCCTTCTTCACCTGACCAATGTGTAAGGAACAACCCAGAAAACAGGTCTTATTGCTGTCTGAATGTATCATTGTCAGAGTCCCTGAAATCAATACAATAAGTAATGTTTTTTATATAGCGCATTTTACAGACCAAGGTGCCCATATCTTTCCATTCTCTCCACACGGTGAGGACAAAAGTGAGACACCAAACACAACGGTGCATCAAAGCCCCCGACCAACACCATCCATTCACTCTCTCATGACAATTTAGACCTATTTATTGGTAGGGGAAACCGGAGCACCCGGGGGAAACCTACACAGAGAGCGTGCAAACTCCACACAGAAAGGCCTGGAGGTGAACCCAGGAACTTCTTGCTGTGAAACACAAGCGCTAACATATGCCGCCAGAAAGCCTCGAAAGCAAAATGTTGGGTGGAATAAAAAAAATCATAATAATAAAAAATTGAATATATACTTATTTTAAAATACATTTATGTGTAGCACATCAGCCCCTGATAGGCGAGTTGAATGGCGAGCCGTTTCGTACTGCTCAGCACGTAAGGTTAAGGCGCCCTGGGGTTTTTTGGTTGAAATTCTTGTGTTTTCTCTCGGTGTGGATGAGGCTCTACGGTCATGTGCTGAGAGGAGCTGAGGCGTGAACCACATCTGCTCCACCAGTGCAGACAAGCTCCCACAGTCGAGACCGTACTTGTCTGGCTCCTGAGTAGGGATCCAAATACAGAATACAACAAAACACACACACACACACACACACAGGTACAAAGTGCTGCCTCCAGCTAAACACGTTCAGAGTGTCTGTAGTGATGTGATGATTACAGCCTGTAGCTCAATCTTATAGTAATTCATCACTAGAATGAGCAGCAGAGGTAAATCTAACATGGCGTGGTCTAAATCAATCGCTCAGTCCAAACCAAACTATTCGACCCCAGATCAAAATTAGTTCAATATCAAAATCACTTCAGAATGTCGTCACGACCGGTCGACCTTTTCTTTTGTCTCAGACTCAGACAATTTTAATGAAGAAGTTTCAGGTGTTTTTATTTTACAATCTGGACTTTCCCATTGCTCAAGATTTTTACAGCAAAACATACAGTATTTGTGAATCATTCTAAACAAGACACAGTCCAGTTGCATCTGATCAAGTCTGTGTCTGAGGAGCTAATTACCGAGTCTGATAGAAGTGAGTTGGAGAGAGGAAAAGGAGGAGATCCTGGAAAAGCACAATAGCAGAGGTGGATTTGTTTTCTGTGATTCATGTGCGTAGAGTGACCTGCAGGCAAACATCTGGAGCCGAGACAAAGGCTGCGGGAGAGGAGGGGTAAGGCGGGGAGAGAGGAGGGGTGAGGCGGGGAGAGAGGGGTGAGGCTGGAGGAGAGGAGGGGTGAGGCTGGAGGAGAGGAAGGGTGAGGCTGGAGGAGAGGAAGGGTGAGGCTGGAGGAGAGGAAGGGTGAGGCTGGAGGAGAGGAAGGGTGAGGCTGGAGGAGAGGAGGGGTGAGGATGGAGGAGAGGAGGGGTGAGGCTGGAGGAGAGGAAGGGTGAGGCTGGAGGAGAGGAGGGGTGAGGCTGGGAGAGAGGAGGGGTGAGGCTGGGAGAGAGGAGGGGTGAGGCTGGAGGAGAGGAAGGGTGAGGCTGGAGGAGAGGAAGGGTGAGGCTGGAGGAGAGGAGGGGTGAGGATGGGAGAGAGGAGGGGTGAGGCTGGAGGAGAGGAAGGGTGAGGCTGGAGGAGAGGAGGGCTGAGGCTGGAGGAGAGGAGGGGTGAGGCTGGAGGAGAGGAAGGGTGAGGCTGGAGGAGAGGAGGGGTGAGGCTGGAGGAGAGGAGGAGAGGAAGGGTGAGGCTGGAGGAGAGGAGGGCTGAGGCTGGAGGAGAGGAGGGGTGAGGCTGGAGGAGAGGAAGGGTGAGGCTGGAGGAGAGGAGGGGTGAGGCTGGGAGAGAGGAGGGGTGAGGCTGGAGGAGAGGAAGGGTGAGGCTGGAGGAGAGGAAGGGTGAGGCTGGAGGAGAGGAGGGGTGAGGATGGAGGAGAGGAAGGGTGAGGCTGGAGGAGAGGAAGGGTGAGGCTGGAGGAGAGGAAGGGTGAGGCTGGAGGAGAGGAGGGGTGAGGATGGAGGAGAGGAGGGGTGAGGCTGGAGGAGAGGAAGGGTGAGGCTGGAGGAGAGGAGGGGTGAGGCTGGAGGAGAGGAGGAGAGGAAGGGTGAGGCTGGAGGAGAGGAAGGGTGAGGCTGGAGGAGAGGAGGGGTGAGGCTGGAGGAGAGGAAGGGTGAGGCTGGAGGAGAGGAGGGGTGAGGCTGGAGGAGAGGAGGAGAGGAAGGGTGAGGCTGGAGGAGAGGAAGGGTGAGGCTGGAGGAGAGGAGGAGAGGAAGGGTGAGGCTGGAGGAGAGGAGGAGAGGAAGGGTGAGGCTGGAGGAGAGGAGGGGTGAGGCTGGAGGAGAGGAGGGGTGAGGCTGGAGGAGAGGAAGGGTGAGGCTGGAGGAGAGGAGGGGTGAGGCTGGAGGAGAGGAGGAGAGGAAGGGTGAGGCTGGAGGAGAGGAAGGGTGAGGCTGGAGGAGAGGAGGAGAGGAAGGGTGAGGCTGGAGGAGAGGAGGAGAGGAAGGGTGAGGCTGGAGGAGAGGAGGAGAGGAAGGGTGAGGCTGTGGAGAGGAGGGGTGAGGCTGGAGGAGAGGAAGGATGAGGCTGTGGAGAGGAGGGGTGAGGCTGGAGGAGAGGAAGGGTGAGGCTGTGGAGAGGAAGGGTGAGGCTGGAGGAGAGGAGGGGTGAGGATGGAGGAGAGGAAGGGTGAGGCTGGAGGAGAGGAAGGGTGAGGCTGGAGGAGAGGAAGGGTGAGGCTGGAGGAGAGGAGGGGTGAGGATGGAGGAGAGGAGGGGTGAGGCTGGAGGAGAGGAAGGGTGAGGCTGGAGGAGAGGAGGGGTGAGGCTGGAGGAGAGGAGGAGAGGAAGGGTGAGGCTGGAGGAGAGGAAGGGTGAGGCTGGAGGAGAGGAGGGGTGAGGCGGAGGAGAGGAAGGGTGAGGCTGGAGGAGAGGAGGGGTGAGGCTGGAGGAGAGGAGGAGAGGAAGGGTGAGGTGGAGGAGAGGAAGGGTGAGGCTGGAGGAGAGGAGGAGAGGAAGGGTGAGGCTGGAGGAGAGGAGGAGAGGAAGGGTGAGGCTGGAGGAGAGGAGGGGTGAGGCTGGAGGAGAGGAGGGGTGAGGCTGGAGGAGAGGAAGGGTGAGGCTGGAGGAGAGGAGGGGTGAGGCTGGAGGAGAGGAGGAGAGGAAGGGTGAGGCTGGAGGAGAGGAAGGGTGAGGCTGGAGGAGAGGAGGAGAGGAAGGGTGAGGCTGGAGGAGAGGAGGAGAGGAAGGGTGAGGCTGGAGGAGAGGAGGAGAGGAAGGGTGAGGCTGTGGAGAGGAGGGGTGAGGCTGGAGGAGAGGAAGGATGAGGCTGTGGAGAGGAGGGGTGAGGCTGGAGGAGAGGAAGGGTGAGGCTGTGGAGAGGAGGAGAGGAAGGGTGAGGCTGGAGGAGAGGAGGGGTGAGGCTGGAGGAGAGGAGGAGAGGAAGGGTGAGGCTGTGGAGAGGAGGGGTGAGGCTGGAGGAGAGGAAGGATGAGGCTGTGGAGAGGAGGGGTGAGGCTGGAGGAGAGGAAGGATGAGGCTGTGGAGAGGAGGGGTGAGGCTGGAGGAGCGAGGTCGCCATACAGGAGGCGCATGCCAGACCTATTGTACATGTTTTAGTGGTAGGGGAAACCGGAGGACCCAGAGGAAACTTGCAAACTCCACTCAGAAAGGCAGCGTTACGACCGGGATTCGAACCCTTCTTGCTGAGAAGCGAGAGTGCTAACTACTCAGCCACCGTGTCGCCCAAAGCTACAATCAATCTCTGATCATAGATAATACATTAACAGGGAAACGCTGCACTTTGTTATTATAAAATGACTTCTGCAAACATCTAAAAGTCACTGAGGGAGTCGTTCAGACCCGCTGCTGTGAAATCTCTGTGTTTCTTATGTTTATTACATTTTCTACACAGTGAAATGATTCTTGTAAAAACCTCTCAAACAAAACTCGAGCTCGGACTCTTCAAGGACTGCTCCGCTGTGCATTCTTCGTCTCTGACTCTCTCTCTCTCAAATATCCTCCTTCGCTCTGCTCAAACTCATAGCGTATCACATAACAAATCTGTGCGTTGCCACGGTTACTCCTATACATAATACACTCCCTGCCTCTGGGCCATATGTCCAATATATAGTGACGTAAGCGGCACGACCAATTGTTATTGATGTGAGAAATGACGGGACCAGCTGTTGGCTTCACGCTGCTGGACGAGAAACCAGAGATGTCAACGTGTAAAAATGTGATGATTCGACAGTATTGCGATATTTGGGCCAGAATTCAATATTATTGCAATTCTTGACATATTGCGATACAAGTGTTGTGATTAGATTCTGATCTAGCCCGGCCTTATCTATCCGCACACTCGGGTCAATCATCATTTCCTGCATGTAACATCTGGGTCTGGTCCCTGTTTTAGCGATTACAATCGGTTGAATTCCATCCGACCAATCTGAGAGCGCGGGAGGCGGTTGTTGTAGTTAGTTGTGGCTGACATCAAGAGTTAGCGCCGAACGGGCAGATTGTAGTTTGGCAATGACGAAAACTGTAATATTAAAGTATTCCGGTCTGGTTCTATCAAGAAATTGAAGCCGGAGCAAGAGGAATGTTTAGTAATTGTAATTGCTGAAAAGATTGTGGCGCTACTCCCCACGGGCTCCGTTAGCAGCAAAGGAGATGGTTAAAGCTAGGCTAAATGCTAAATGCTAACGACTCACTCGGGCCTATTACATTTACGTCACAGTAAACTCAGATCCAATGGTTTCAATCTGCAAAAGGAGTTATTCCCTCCCACCTGTGAACGGAGTCAATGGAGCAAATCCAGACCTTAGTACGAAATGTAATTTGTACTATGGAGTGGTACGACCAGGTTAATTCTGATATATATTATTCAAATACATTACAAACATTGAGGAAAATAAGACTCAACTCAAACAAACAAAAATAAAGTACTATTAATATTATGAATATACAATATTTATATAAGTATCACAATTCTTTGCTCTACTGTATCGATATGTTGGAGTTGACAGCACTTTGAGAGAGTCTTTCTTCAAACTAACAGGACGTAGCTGTGCTTTTGTTTGAAAAACTCAGGATGTTTGGAGAGAAAGCTGGAGTCAACAGGATGGTCCACAATGTTACCTCAGACAGTGGTCAGAGCGAGAGGAAGGAGAGGACCAGGAGAGGACTAGGATAGGATCAGGAGAGGACCAGGAGAGGATCAGGGAAAGCACAGACACAAACACTGGATCAAGGGGAAGGAAGCAGAGGCTGGAGTCCAAAAAAGAAGAAGACGGATGTCCAGAAGTTATAATAGTGGACTTTTGAAGAAGTCTCTTTGGTCTCTCTCTCTCTGGTCTCTTGCCAGTCTCTCTCTGGTCTTTCTCTGGTCTCTCTCTAGTCTTTCTCTAGTCTCTAACTTTTCTCTCTCTCTGGTTTCTCTCTGGCATCTATGTCTGATCTCTCTCTGGTCTCTCTCTCTCTCGCTCTAGTCTCTCTCTCTGGTCTCTCTCTGGCCTCTCTATGGCCTCTCTCTCTGGTCTCTCTCTGGTCTCTCTCTCTGATCTCTCTCTTTAGTCTCTCTCTCTGGTCTCTCTCTGGTCTCTTTGGCCTCTCTATGGCCTCTCTCTCTGGTCTCTCTCTGGTCTCTCTCTCTGATCTCTCTCTTTAGTCTCTCTCTCTGGTCTCTCTCTGGTCTCTTTGGCCTCTCTATGGCCTCTCTCTCTGGTCTCTCTCTGGTCTCTCTCTCTGATCTCTCTCTTTAGTCTCTCTCTCTGGTCTCTCTTTGGCCTCTCTATGGCCTCTCTCTCTGGTCTCTCTCTGTCTCTCTAGTCTTTATTGCCACTTTTCCACAGTATCAGTACGGTACAGTACAGTACGCTTCAGCACGGTTATTTTGCGTTTCCACTAGTGCATGGTATGGGAGATTTGAGTACTTTTCCGTACTGCCTCAGCCGTGGTTCCATCCCCATAGTACCCGTGCCATGACGTCACGTCGGCCCTCTGCCTTACACTGATTGGTCAACGAGTGTCGTCACTGGAAGCGACATCTGACCCTTTGGGAAAAACAACTCAACCGCCATCTTTAAAACCGGCTGCTCTGCTCGGCTCTGCTTCGGCTACATTACGTCCTCCTCACTCCAGAGAAATGGAATCGCACAGAAAGTCCCAAAAGTCCTGGTCCTGGTCGGTGGACGAGGTCCACACGTTCCTCTCTTCAGGCCAAAGAAAGAATTCAAAGGCAGCTCGAGGCTCAACACAGTTTTCAGGAGATTGCTCTGGATTTGTGACTAGTCTGTGGTAATCCTGAAATAACTGGTTAGCTACGAATCCCGTTAAAGCTGTCACTGAAATGTATTTACTGTGTAAATGTTTGATTGTCTGTTGTACACAGTGAGCTAGCTACAATTAGCTTCATTTAGCTATCGATAGCAGCTAAGCTAACGTCCTCCCTGTGCTACTGTGCTTTATCTCGTATTATCTGCAGTATCCACGTGTTGTCATTCTGTTTGTGCTTGTATTTAAGTTGTCGTGTGTATATTTGTATGAGAATCCCTTTCCAGTGTGGAGATTAACAACGAGTAATGAGTGACCGGAGTATTCTCATCTGGTCTCACACATACGTACTTTTGACTTTGTAAACTGTTGGTTTTGCACTTTACTTTTGTTTTCAATAAATCTGTGATAAGACTGTGTTTCATTAATTTATTATTATTGTAGCTGAGGTTTGGGTATTGATTGTTTGTCTGGTCTCGGAGTCTGCTGTAGTCCGGACCCGAGTCCAGACTAGCCTAGCCTAGCTTAGCCTAGCCTAGCCGCTAACTCGCTACCCCTATGGCTGCCGCTGTCTCTCCCTCGGTCCTTTACTGCTCGAGTTGCCATATGACGAGTTTAAACCCCGGATCCTCCTCTGATGGCAGTGATAGATGTGTTAAGTGTAGTACAGTTGTAGCTTTGGAATCCAGGGTTAGTGAGTGAGCTGAGTCTCAAGCTAGCGCTAGTATTAGCTATAGCCTAGCAGTATCCTCGGACATGCAGCCCTCCTCCTCTGCTGCACAGGCTGCTGTTGCTAAAGGTCCCATTCAGATTGTACAGAGCAGTCAGCACCATTAACTTCACAGTTTCCGAGTCATTCTTTTAAGACTTAAGCATTTTCAAAAACTACTCGTGCTGTGCTGAATTTTCTATTCCATGCACCGCACCAGTACTAGTTACGCGTCACATGTAAATGACAGTTTTGGTAGACCCCCTGGTTTTGGAAGGCCTAAAGCAGAACTCATCTTAATAGCTACAGATACGGTCACTATACTAAATAATAAAGTTGTTCCCCTCTGTCTCTCTCTGAGTTTTGTTGGGTGGATGTTCTGGTCTACTCCTAACAAAGCCTCTAAAGGTTCTATTCGATGATGTAATGATTCTAAGGGAGTTGTCATGGCAACCGTTGCTATGGTCACCAACGGCAACCCAGTATTGTATGGAGTTGGAGAGTTTGTTGCCGTTTAAATACATGTTATTATTAAATCTTCAAGGCTTATGTGCTGGGAACAGAACAGCTGGTTTTACAGGACTTGAGGGAAACACGATTTATAAATATTTTTATTTTCTCAGTCACATGCTCCTCAGTTTCCTTCTGACCAAAGTAATGAAAGTTACAGTTGGCTTTGGTGCATTTATCAGACTTAAAGTTCTCAACACTATTAGTTTAACCTCCACAGCACTGAGTCATGTGTGACGTCATCGCAGCAGCTTCTCCTTGAACAGATTACAAAAGTATCAGTTACTTTCATACTTACTTTTAAAACATCATCATTTGCTTTTGTGGTGTCAGAATGAAATATATGGAGCTGAACAGTCTTTCCTGATAAAACCAACAGTCCTCATTTCATCGCTTTAGTCGTTAATCTGTCAAACTAATTTCATACATTATTTATCTTTATTTTAAATCTCTAATTGTCTTGAAACTGTTGTTGTTTTGTGTTTTACAATAATATTTTTTCTCTCTGTAAATGTTACTTCAGTCCAGTGTTGATGGTTTTACACTGGTCCAGACCAGAGCAGAGACCATGGTCTGAACCAAGAGAAAGGATCATGTTTCTTAAATGCAAACAAAGCATTCAGAATTTCACTCTGAACCAGAGCAGAGAAACTGACCCAAGCAGACTCTGAAACATAAAATTGATTACTATTATTTTGACAATGATGATGGAAAAAAATCATGAACGTTGCATGAAAGGTCTCTCTCTCTCTCTGGTCTCTCTCTCTGGGGTCCCTCTCTGGTCTCTCACTGGTCTCTCTCTGGTCTCTTTCTCTGGGGTCCCTCTCTGGTCTCTCACTGGTCTCTCACTGGTCTCTCTCTGGTCTCTCTCTGGTCTCTTTCTGGTCTCTTTCTGGTCTCTTTCTCTGGGATCCCTCTCTGGTCTCTCACTGGTCTCCCTCTGGTCTCTCTCTGGTCTCTTTCTCTGGGATCCCTCTCTGGTCTCTCACTGGTCTCTCAATGGTCTCTCTCTGGTCTCCCTTTGGTCCCTCTCAGGTCTCTCTCTGGCATCTTGTCTGATCTCTCGCTCTAGTCTCTCTCTCTGGCCTTGATCTCTGGTCTCTCTCTGGTCTCTCTCTCTGATCTCTCTCTCTAGTCCCTCTCTCTGGTCTCTCTCTGCTCTCTCTCTGGCCTCTCTCTCTGGTCTCTCTCTCTGGTCTCTCTCAGGTCTCTCTCTCTGGTCTCTCTCTCTCTGGTCTCTCTCTTTGATCTCTCTTTCTATGATCTCTCTCTGGTCCAGATCATTTCCATCCATCGAGCCTACACCATGAGAAAACTCAGAAACCCCACATACTGTACACGTATAACACACACAGAGCTTCAGAATCACAAACAGACTTCGCCCTCAAGCACCAGTGTCTTCAGTAATTAACAGCAGCACTTCCGGCCTCATCCATATTTAATCCAAAGCAGAGCGTGAAAATCAGTCGTTCTTTTGTGGCCGAGTAATTGGATTTGGGACACGCCCCTTCTGCACACAGTCTGCTGAATTAAAATAACATTAGGGTCAGCTGATGCCCACCACCGTCCAACTGTTCGCTCCCATTGTCACTTATAATATGAGAAAAAAGACATTTGTATCAGGTCAATTAAAAAAATACAAGATATAATTTGCCAACACATAGGAAATCAACAAAAAAAGAAAAATATTTTGTGTGTTTTATGACAATTATAGCAACCAAAGTCACTAGCGCTAAAATAACTAGGCAAACTATGATATAAAAACCCTGTTATAACTGTTTTCCACGCTTACATCTCTGATCAAAGTCATGTTTAATAGTTTCTTCGACCATTTGGTAGATCACCATTATACTGTATCTACTTTAAGCTTGGAACAAAAATATTTTGGTTTTAGGCACTTTTACCACCAAACGGCATCTCACTATAACCCAACATTTTACTGTCTATTTTTTACCACGGCCGTTTTTCGCTGTTCTTTTCCGAAATAATCAGAAAATAAACGTAATCTGTCCCCACAACAAGAAGGGACCATTTGATTTAGTAAAACCTCTCTCCAAACGTCTAAAAATAGCTAACTCTGTAGCATCCAGGTAGCTTTCTAGGCTGTATTGCCACCGGGTCACATGACTGGCTCGGAAAAACTATAAACAACGACGTCACTCCAAGATCCTCCTATAGAACGAGGACTGTCCCTAACCCTAAACCTTTACATTTAAAACAAGGCCAAATGATCACATATGCGTTATTTCAACTTTAAACTACACAAAATACAGACATTACTCTCACAATGAAGCTTACAACGTGCAGTGAAAAGTACAATGTTATTAAGAGCTTATACCCACTTTATAGGTCATCAGCCGCTTATTCTTGACAGATCTCTGGACTCACAGCTGTCCTGCCCCATGCATCCCCCACACACCCCCATCCACACCCCCCTTTCCCCACACTGTCCTCCCCGTGTCCTCTATCCATCCTCCAGCTGGGTCTTTAGGGGCAGGAGCCTGGATCAGTGCAGCCTGGAGCATCGCACACACACATACACACCTCCCCCCTCCCTCTTGTCTCCCACCCATGTCTCCACACCCCAGCCCAGCACATGGCTCTTTGTATACCAGTGACAACAGCAAGAAAAAACACATCATTTTTTACTTTTATCGTGAATTCAAACGTAGAATTTTAATTTTAAGTTGTGACATTGTATATAATTATTTAATGAGTCCTGGATCTACAGCCTGCCCATCCATGGGAGCAGATCCCTCTCTCTTTGTGGGCCTCCAGGTTTCTCACTTTTATCCACTGGGTCTCCTTGCAGATGCAGGAGGGTCTAAGGACAGTGCAGATCCAGGACATTTAAGGACATTTATTGACATTTATGGACTAATGGCTTCTATGTGTTTCTCATCACTGCTTTCCCTGTGTTCTGTTTGATTCTCTGATCTGTTGTAGGTGAATCCACAACTTTGTAAAGTCCCACTGTTGTGATTTAGGCAAATAAACCTATACATTGAATTGAATTGAGTTGAAGTATACAGTATCATCTGGAGGAGACACAACAAAAACGCATAGATGTGGGACGTATAATATTGCAACCTTAAGCACACCAGCTGTAATGTAGAAATTTGCAGTTTTTAGTATGTAGAATCTCATAAAATGTGACTAAAGTTGAATAAATGGTGTAAATATTGCTTGCTGAGTTCGTACAGTGTCTGCATGTTTCAGACAACACGTGTTATATTAAGCGGACGCCTTTTCCCACTGTAAAAACCAGACATGCTAATACATTCTGACATGCTAATGCTTACAAATATTTGTTATGAATGAAAAGTCGGTGGAAACGTGTTTAAAGTGTAGGATGTGGCTTACCTTTGTCGCTGGTGTCCTTTTCCATCCTTGAAAAGTGGTTTTATTGAAGAGAAAGCAGCCACAAAGAAGAGCAGAGGGCGGTGCGTGAGGGACCAGCCTCTGTGACGGACAGCTGTGTGGACCAATCAGAGGCGCTGTCAACACGAGGGGGGGACTTATGGCGTGTGGTCCAAACAAGAGGCATTGATGGGGAGATTTTTGTTTTGTTTTGAGAGAGGAGAGTATTCGTTTGTTTTCCTCCGGGTGCTACGGTTTCCCCTACCACTAAAAGTATGATAACTAGGTCTGAATGTAATGAGGGAGTGAACAGAGGGTATCTCGCTTCTGCCATCACTGTGCACTGGTCTGTGAAATGTGCTATATAAAAAAAGAAAACCTACCTTACCTTTGCACACAAGATCTGCACAATTATTCACTTTTAATGAATAAATAAATTAAGGCGCACCTTTTCTCTTTGGCTTTTAATACTAGGCAGCACGAGTTTTTATTTTTTATTTTGTATATGTTTATATACTTTTTGTATCTTTGTGTTTTTATTGTTCATTTATTTATTCTGTATATTGTTTATTGCTTTTTTGACTTGTCTGTACCGCACTTTTGGTAAGCCTTGGCTGTTTTAAAAAAAATATTTGTTTCACAAATCAATAAATAAAATGATTGATTCTCTCCCTTCTTACCTCCTTCCTTCCTGTTCCTTAGGCAAGACACTTCACCCACATTGGCTTGTATGAATCTGGTGTGTGTGTGATTTGTTGGTGGTGGTCGAATACAGGTTTCCTTGCTTCTGCCAGTATGCCCCTCGGCAGTTGTGGCTACAGTATTAGTTCATCACCATCGTGTATGGAGGAGTGAACTAATGTCCTCTTTGAGTGTCCAAAAAAAGCGATAAAAACCAAAACATTATGTTATTTTCTATGAATTATCCTTGGCTTTCCATTAGAATAATATCAGATTCTTTGTCACACAGCGTACAAAAAACAAGCTTACATTTTGGATAAAGCACTTTAATAGCAGATGGATATTAGAAAGAAGACCACAGTTAGTGTTACTTAGAGGCGCAAACATCCCATTGGACACAACTGAAAAATTACTCCTCTCTCTACTCCATTTTGACATTACATTTCAAGGCTTAAAAAAAACCAACTCCTTTCCATGATACAGCATTGAAATAAATACCTGAAAAACAAGCCGCTGTGTCATCTCCTAAAAGCAGAACACATAGGATTAAACGTGTCTTTACTACGAGGCGTTTGGGGCCTCTTCATGCATGTCCCAAGAGATAATGGTTATTACAGACAGATACATACATCCACAAATATATATGCTGTATGCTTTCATTTCATTTGACCGAGGAGGAAAACTAGAGCAGCATTTTTTATACGATATATTCGTCAAACCAAGCGATGTTTTAAGTGCTGTTTGCAGGTCTGGGAAGCCTAACAAAAGTCAATAAAATAGCTTACAAAAATAATTTCTAGATGTTTCGTTTTGTTCTTCTTTACATCTGCTGCTGATAATGAAACTGTAATAATAATAATAATAATAATACACATCTGAAATTGGGGCTGTTGAGTCCTACTGTAGAGGTGAAGTGTTAAATCATGTACAAACTGTGGCCGGAGAGCAAAAAGCAGCCCTATTTGTCATGTTATGTGGCCCTCTGTCTTGCTAACATGCTAACATAAAGTAGCCATTGAGGTACTTTCACAGTGTCATCCAGGCCACTTCAGCTCCACCGATATAGCCATGCTGTACCTTTTTGTAAAGCTCAGAACCTCTAGAATCCAGTCGTAAACTGTAATTGTATATCAATAGATCATTCACAAAAACAGTGGCATTAGAAGAGGCTTACAATTTGCGGTTTACCCAGTCGATTTCTGAAAAGCTTTATCCAAATCTAGTTTAGTGCCACACAATTTAACAAATATCTATTTTAAAACATATTTGATAATTGTTTCTTGTACTTGTTAGCTTGTTTTGTTTCATATCTTTGTCTGGGTCACACTGGGGTTGTTGCACATGTATTCCAATGTGGTTATACTGCAAATTGAGTCACATAATTCCATATATGGGCTACTATAGCTATAGTAACCCCATTTCAAACCCCATTAGCTTGAATTCAGTCAAAACAGTTACAGCTACAGTTACAATCCATGTCGTCAGCCCCTGGACAAGTCAAGAGAAAAAAAAGTTTGGATATCAATGTGTTAAACTTTTGCAACAACAACAAAAGACGTATGAGTGATTGAAAACAGCATGTGGCAGAAAGAAACTGATACTGCCTTTGGTACGGACGCGCTTACACAGCAAAAGGAAATACATTTGTCAAAACCATTGGAATACATTATCTCAGTATGGCTCAGTTTGGAGCGGTAACACACGCAAAATCATGTAAAAGGACCAGAAAAGAAATAAATGAGGTTGACAGGTTTTTGATAACAGACGGACCATAATAATATTGTTGCGTTTTAATGTACTTTGAGCTTAAGGAAACACATTGGAACCATGGAAACTTAAGGGACTCTCATTGATTGTAGAAGGACTAGACTAACCCAGCAACAACCTAGCAACCAAAGAGCCAATCAGGAGTGACGTTGATCTGTTCCGCAGACCCCAGACCCCTGATTGGTCGGTTTTTTTGGGCTCATATTGAGATTTACAAAGAAACTATCAAAATAACAATACCAGGATCACATAGAATTTCAAACTACAGATATTTAAGCCCACAATTTTACAGAGCTAGAGGAGTTTACTTATCAGTGTAATTCAATATGAGCCAAAAAGTTTAACTTCCCTATTAGGCTACATAGAGCTAGCATGGTTTTATATATATACACAGTCGATGGAAGATCCGCTGTGTTTTTGGCAAATTGTGCCGCTAGCCCATTGATTAATTGGCTAAAAAGTGAGCAAAAACGTTGTGGAATAACTTGATAAACTGCCATATTACAACTGATAAATATTTAGTTTCCTTTCAAAGTCTCAAAATGATCTAAAATGTCGTCCAAATGTTGTAATCTGAGTATATCAATTTGTTTGCATTTGTTTAGGACCCAAAGATGTGACGTCACTGAGCTCTTTTCAATCTTTGACAATTTAAGATATTTTTTAACATATTTGTAGATTCAAAAAGAGACTCTTAAATTTATATTTAGAATTAAATTATTTGTAACTGGATTTTGTCTCATTCTACAGTGAAGTAATAGTGAAGAAAACATGTAACAGTCACACAGTGGAAATTGATGATATAAAGACACCAAACTAGAAAACACTGGGTTGAAATAAGTGCAGAAAGATTGAGTCCAAAGCGGTTCACAAGGTTATAAAAAAAAGCAGATCGGAGTCCAGATGGAAGCAGACCGGAGGGTACGGGCCGGAGGGTACAGACCATATACAGACACAGGCCATGCAAGCAGAGTCCTCATGATCCTACAGACAGTAAAAGAGGAGAGGACTGAAAAACAACCCCAAAAACCACTTTGGAAGTCCGCTGTAAACGTATGGCACAAAGAAGACGTACAAAAACAGCATTAGCACATTTACATTGAGAAGAAAGGAGAGATTCCAGATAGAACTTGCTACGATTTTGTATAGAAATGGACGCAATTTTGGCTAAAAATATCAAACCGTTGGCACAATCGCATCTTTGTCCCATCCTTACATCAAACACAAAATGAAACCATATGAATAATAATAAAAAATGGCTGAAAAAGTAGCTGTATGAGCCTACTGTGTGGTGTGGATTGGCTTCTATGGGTCGAGAAGGCACAAATGTATTGCGATTCAGCTGTATAAGACCTTAAGGCTAGGCTAACATAGTCGAGTCTATACGCATGCATAGGCTATTTCATTCCAGGCAAAAATACAGTATGTGTTACCGTATGCTAGCCTATTGCGTGCTTGGAAGTTGACAGTAGCGACAAAATGATGCTATAAAAATGCAAGGAAGAGATTCAGACTCAGCCTCTGTGCACAGAAACAGCTAACCCATTCAAAAATACCCATTTAAATTAGAATACTGTAATCTTGTCTTGGGCCCCATATAAAAGCTACACGTTCCTTCAAGGGCGTCCCATTTACAAATATGCAGTCACTAAATTCTGAAATGACTTGTTACATTTTTTCTTATTTTGTATTTGTGATTAAGTAAGCTGAACTGAACTGAACCATACAGAATTTCAATTATGTACATTAGCGCTATTTATAATGTACAGTTTTAGAGGGAGGATCTTGCTTCTAGACTGTAGCTCTGTGTCCTGTAATGCAATAACAGGTTTACAGGGTTATTTTTTAAAGTAGTTTCTTGCCCATGCAGAAGGCTCTAAGGCAGAGACGAGGCCTTTGTCGCAGGTTTGAGCCATACTGTACATTTCTTTCACAATGAATATCTAGGATTTTTAAAAACAAGACCAGCACATTTAGACTGTAATACAATACAAAATGTAGTATTGGGTTTATACCAATACATTAAACATTCTTACGGTTAATGCCTTCACTTGTCTGAGAGCTGGGCACAATCCTCAAAAGGACATTTATGAATATTTAAGGACATTTATGGACATTTAAGATAATTTATAGATAGTGGTCATCAGGCTCCCTATGAGTTCTAACAGTTTTATTCTCCAATCTGTTGTTGCCGAATTGACAATTTTGTAAAGTCCTCCAAAACGACTGCTGTTGCCTCCCTGGGTTTATTGAATGTAACAAAGCTGAATGTAATGTATTTGGGTGATGCTGTGCTCTGGTGTCACTGGTGTCTTGCTAAAATCAAAGTACGATACTAAAAAACCTCAGGATGCTACACTAGCGAACAATTATAATGATACAATTTCTTTTGTCCAATTAAAGAGGTTTTTGTCACTTAAGTCTTAAAAAAAGTAGATTTTTGGGATGAAAGTTTGGATACCTGTGGCTAGAAATGCTCTCAGGTAGTTTTGTTGGCAGTATCCACCCAAAACTTACCCTCCAGCTTAAAATACATATTAGTTTTAGTTAAAAAAATATCATTGAGGTTGAAGCAAACCGCTCTTCCGTGCACAGAGCCTGATCATTGATAAAACCTGTGGCTTAATCATATTTCAGTCTTCTCCTCTTTACTGTGTGCGACAGTATACACTACGACCACGCGACGTACAAAAACACAGGATTGCAGAGGCTGAAGTCCGGACGTGGAGCGCCTCCTGGTGGCCACAGCACGCTTTACACGCCGGTGCATATAGAGACGTTTCATAGGTGTGGCCCGGTTCAGGTTTGATGTAGTTTGACGTTATAGTACTGTAGAAGTCCCTCTGCTCTGCCTCAGAAAAGACGCGCCTTCTTCTTCAGGTCGGTCCTCTTCCACAAGGCCAGGCGGTCGAACTGGTCCAGGGTCATGCTGAAGACCTGCATGAAGTCCTCCGGGGATAGGTGTCTCTGTGGGGGGCAGAGAGAGGCCAGGGTTATGTAAAGAATGATGTTAAAAACTTAGTCTTTTCAGCATTACGTTTTATCCTTGAGAAATTTGTGGGTAGCGACAACTTAGCAACCAAAGAACCAATCAGGAGTGACGCTGGTCTGTTCTGGTTCTGGTCTCTGTAATATTTAAAACCTGTGAGAGAAGGACCCCTGATTGTTCTGGTTCTAAGGCTCGTAAGTGGATTTAGTAGATAGAAACATTTATTTTATTAGATTATATTATAGTAGTTTCATCTGTTAAAGGAGCAGTATGACGTGGCCAAAACTGGCACTGCAGCCACTCCCACTCTCCCTGACTCAGGTTGCCAGATATGCAGACGAATCCAGCTGGGACCATAACAGCTGAATAGACAAGAGTTTTGTAAACAACAAATCTATAACCAACACCTTTTTCTCAAAGATAGAAATCCTGTTTTTATTCCTTGTTTTGTTGTTAATGATTTGAGAATCATAACGAGACCTTTTTTAGTTCTGCGCCACATGGTACTTTACCAGTGAGATTAGCTCCACACAGTGAGTTATGGGGCCCGGATCACAGACTTTCTGATTGGTGAAACGGTGGAGGGCGGGACGACAAAATGAAAGCAATAACAAGATTTAGGGGCTGTAAAACTAATCTAATGATGACAGATTATGATGACAGATTAGAGCCCTTTAATGATGACAGATTAGAGCCCTTTAATGATGACAGATTAGGGCTCCTTTAATGATGACAGATTAGGGCCCTTTAATGATGACAGATTAGAGCCCTTTATTGATACAGATTAGGGCCCTTTAATGATGATAGATTAGGGCTCTTTAATGATGACAGATTAGAGCCCTTTAATGATGACAGATTAGGGCTCCTTTAATGATGACAGATTAGGGCCCTTTAATGATGACAGATTAGAGCCCTTTATTGATACAGATTAGGGCCCTTTAATGATGATAGATTAGGGCTCTTTAATGATGACTTCACATAAAAATCTTACATATTTCTATTTTAAGGGTTCAAAGTTAGTTGAGTTAATCCTTGCCAATGCAGTAGGGTCTAAAGCCTAGCGTACATCGACAGAGAAACTGGGGACAACTAGTTGCAAGGCGGCTTTTGGCAACTGAGAGGAGATGATGGGAGATTATCAGTTGCCGAAATCGGTCGATGTGCGCTCTCTTACAACTGGAGATGAACAGTCGGTCTCCAGTTTCAGTCAGTTGCCCGTGTTCTACTTTTCGGCAACTAGTTGTCCTCAGTTTCGGAGATATGACCCGATGTGCGCGCTCCATGCGCCGCTCCGACAACGTGTGTGTATTGCGTGTATTGCGAGCCCGCAACAGTTTATGTCAGAAAACACACTGTAGTTGAGGCCAGTTGCTGTCGATGTACGCGCTGTTATTCCCGAGACTGGTCTGCTACTGGGAGTTGCCCGTTTTCGTCAGATTGTCGATGTGTGCGGGGCAGCAACTCATATGCGACGGATATAATCAGTTGCCAGTCCGATGTACGCTAAGCTTAAGGACACTCCACATTCAAAGAAATTTGCACACACACACACACTCATCGGCTCCTCTATGTGTTTTTTATTGTTGCAATTCAGAGCTGCACCCAGTACGCAGAGCACCAGCCCCTATGTAACATGTAAAAGTCTGGATTGACTAGACTGAATTTGACTGTTTTGAGAGAGAGGAACTAGTGACATGGATTATATTAAGTACATCAAACTTGTGTTAAAAAATGTTTGTTTTATTTTTAGGCTGGCCTTGACATCTGCCCACGGGACTACCAATGAAAATTAGCTTAATTTAGCTAACATGGGTACATTTACACACTTACATGTATGATGCTGATTCATGTGCACTGTCTCGTCTCAAGTAAATAAATAGGTTGACAATAACAGCAGGTCAACATAACTTCCCACTATTATAAACCAGGCTCGTTTCTGATGGATTTTCAGCGTGTAGACTGAGGAATGTTGACCAACTTGGACTGAGCAGACCCTGGCGAAAGTGGAAAGCCTTTTCCCCTGCAGCTTTAACCGTCCATTAGTTTTGCCTCTCAGAACAGAACAACACTGGAGTATTCCCAGACGGCCATGACGGTCTTGGCTCCCTCTCGGTCTGGGTTTGGACTGGATTTCGCGCTAATATCTCGGCCCATGTAGTTTTGATATCACTTCATTTGACTAATAAGTTGGGGTTAGCCAGCATCCGAAGACTAGGGGTCCAAACCACAGTACGTCACCGGCACCTCAGTATCCTCCCCCTCCTCAAAACCACAGCCTGTGAGATGGGGGTCACATGGGGGCTACAGGGGGGGCCCGTCTGGAGTGATGGGTAAGAACCGGCTGTGGCACCACGGGCCTAACCACACGATATAAATGAGGTTGTACTTATATGGGTGAGTGGCAGCATATTAACTATAAGGAAAAGCATGACAATATTAGTTTTGTGGGGAGGCTAAGAGCGACGGCATGAAGGTCCGGGGGGGTAGACGGGGCCATTATAATGTTCTTATGTTTGATGGGAAAAGTATGCACTTTGTACAACCATTTATAAACACAACACGGCAAAAAAAAAAAAAGAGACAAAGGAAAATTATATTGTTTTAAAAAGAAACAAGAAATGTCTCCCTTGGAATGAGAAAATACAGGAACCGTTCTTGAAATCAGACTAAATGGCCTTGTCCCGTCAGAGAATCATGTTTTAAGTCAGAATGTGCTCAAATTTAGATTAAGATTAAGTCATTATCAACTCATAATTTATCATTTTTTGCAGCGTACACATTCCTTTGTCTGCTATAACTTTATAATCTATTCATTATTATAAAACCCAAATTTAATATGAAACAACCTGAGAGATATAGACATTTAAGACATTTATTAACAATAATGGTCGTCCTGCTCCCTATGGACCAATATTATTATGATTATTATGATTATTATAATTATTACATTTCCTGTTTGATTTTTCTGATTTGTTGTTGGTGAATTGACAACTGTGCAAAGTCCTCCAAGACGACAGCTGTTGTGACAAAAAAACAGCAATGATTTCTATATTTTTAGAGAAAAGGTTTGATAAATGTGGCCCACAGTGTATTTTTCACCTCGAGTCTGGTGCGGTCCACGTCTCTGGGAAGCTTCACTTTGACTCGGTGCGTCACGGCCAGAACTTCATATGGATAGATCTAGAACACAACGTCGAGATAGTTTTGTTTGTAGAGAACAGACTGGATAAAAATGAAGATGAGATTGAAATGTTCTTACCTTATACTCTGGAAAAGAAACAAACAAGAAAACATGATTAGGTTATGTACGATAAGACGTAAAATACTGGTGAATACACACATATATACACACAAAAGCACTTACATACACACATACACATTTACAGTGCCTTGCGAAAGTATTTGGCCCCCTTGAACCTTTCAACATTTTGCCACATTTCAGGCTTCAAACATAAAGATATAAAATTTAAATTTTTTGTCATGAATCAACAACAAGTGGGACACAATCGTGAAGTGGAACGAAATTTATTGGATCATTTAAACTTTTTTAACAAATAAAAAGCTGAAAAGTGGGGCGTGCAATATTATTCGGCCCCTTTACTTTCAGTGCAGCAAACTCACTCCAGAAGTTCAGTGAGGATCTTTGAATGATCCAATGTTGTCCTAAATGACTGATGATGATAAATAGAATGCACCTGTGTGTAATCAAGTCTCCGTATAAATGCACCTGCTCTTTGATAGTCTCAGGGTTCTGTTTAAAGCGCAGAGAGAACCATGAAGACAAAGGAACACTCCAGGCAGGTCCGAGATACTGTTGTGGAGAAGTTTAAAGCCGGATTTGGATACAAAAAGATTTCCCAAGCTTTAAACATCTCAAGGAGCACTGTGCAAGCAATTATATTGAAATGGAAGGAGTATCAGACCACTGCAAATCTACCAAGACCCGGTTGTCCCTCCAAACTTTCATCTCAAACAAGGAGAAGACTGATCAGAGATGCAGCCAAGAGGCCCATGATCACTCTGGATGAACTGCAGATAACTACAGCTGAGGTGGGAGAGTCTGTCCATAGGACAACAATCAGTCGTGCACTGCACAAATCTGGCCTTTATGGAAGAGTGGCCATTTCTCAAAGATATCCATAAAAAGCCTGGTTTAAAGTTTGCCACAAGCCACCTGGGAGACACACCAAACATGTGGAAGAAGGTGCTCTGGTCAGATGAAACCAAAATCAAACTTTTTGGCCACAATGCAAAACGATATGTTTGGCGTAAAAGCAACACAGCTCATCACCCTGAACACACCATCCCCACCTACTGTTAAAAGTGTTAATGTTATTGTTAATCATGTAACTTCTAAAAAGGCAAAGAATTGTTGTCTTTTAAAATGTCAATAGTAAATCCAATTCCACGACTAATAATTATAATTAAAACATGCACATTACTACTGTAAGTTTCAAAATGACAGCTCCTGTGGGGTCACATTGTGTGATGCACTGCACCCTATTTATATGTAACCAATACTAACAGGGAGTTTTTTGACTTGGTCCATTTCTTCCCATTCAGTAAACAAATATAACTAAGAAGCGCTCTGACATGATTTGCATCATGTCAGCATTGGGATCTCGTCTTCGGTTGGGGATTTGTGAGGTTGTTACTGCATCTCTGCACACTTCCTGTTCATTAGCATCCATTTGACAAACAGCCATGTCTGCCCTGCATCCTGCTCTGACCCTTACAGTTTCCATTCTGCTTAAAACAAAAAGGAAACACCTATTTATTAATGTTATAGAGCCACAACCTTTCTTCACCTCTACTGAACTTACCTGTTTCCTTTTTGTTCACTGAAATGTGTTGTGTACCTTGTATTTGTCTTATCTACAACATTGTAATTACATGTTTGATTCTATAGTTCCTCAGTTGAATGTTATTACTGTAGGATATTTTGTTGAGAACTGTGATAAGAGTTCAAACACAGAGTCAAAGGTGATAGCCCTGAGCAGTGCTGTCAGCCAGTGACTACTTATCTACACTTAATTTAAAACCAAATAAAAGTCATATCAGTAATCCTTAAATTTGCCACGTCTTGATTTGCATTCTCGAGTAGATTTTCTAAATGATGGCTTTAAAAAAGGATGAAAGTGGTTCAAGCAGTGGCAGAGCTCGAGCAGCGGCGAGAGAGAGAGACGGGAGGGGGGAGAGGGAGAATAGACAAACAGGTTGCACTGGGGCCTGGGGAATAAGAGCTTGTCAGTGCAGGGAAAAAAGGGAAAATAAGATGGAGGACTGCTACAGCAAAAGGGCTTCAAGGAGAGGACATGCCAGACAGTTTTAATAATCATCATCATTACACTGCACTTCTACGTTACTCCTCAAAACCGAGCCTTCGCAGACAGGTGACCCCACAGCCGCACACTACCACTGTCCGCTGCTCTTTGCCAAACTTCTCTCACCCTAGACCATTTTCAGCATCACTTTTCAATCCCACTTCCATCCTGTTTGATTACTCACCTCAGAAGATCCAAGTCCGTATTTTTGTTGTTTTATGATGCGAGCAAATTAAGTCCTATGTGCACCTTGCCTTTCTCAACTGTGTACTGTGCTCCAAGTCCCTGGCAGCCCCCATGACACCTCCCACTCCTCCCCTTCGTATAACTTATCAACCTCCTGCCTTTCCACCGCGCTGGTAATTAGCGCGTCTCAGCCCCAGATGTTATGGCGGCTTTATTTAGCCAAGCTCGCACTATTAACTATTCCAATTAGGTGTTTAATTGCAGTAAAAGAAGTAGTAGTAGTAGTAGTAGTGTGGCTCTACTTTCTGTGAGTATTTATAAGTAAACACATTTCTTAAAGTTGTTGCTTGTAACCACTGCCTGACTGGCTTCTCCACAGTTTGGCTTGGTCCGTCTTGACCAGCATCTACATGTGGGTTTGGACAGATGGCGAAACACTTTCTCTTGAGTATCATGCACAGCCCCTCACTCTCGCTCTCTCTCTAATTAACAAGGTTTCAGTAACAAACCTTTTGGGCATTGGCATCTCCATGGTAACTCAAACAGAAGCACTGGTGTCTACTTGCAGTCGATGCCATCTTTAGCATCTTACTCATGTGTGCAAAATCAAGAGGGATTATGACTGATATAAAAACATTTGTAAATAAAATAAAAGTAAAAAGTACTCAAAATGTTCCTTATAAATCTAAAGTAGCTGACTTTTCTTTTGCATGCATGGCGCTATAAAGATGGCGCCGTGGCAAGAGCTCTGGCGTGTGCCGTCTTCTCTGTCTGGTAAACACTGGGTAGTCAAATCAGTCAAATGTGGTCATACATATATTAATGTTAGCATAATTTATCTGCAATTAGTATGAGAGTACACAAGAGTACAACATAAAAGAACCCAACGCCCAGTCAAGTAACTCATGATCAAACATGTATGAAATAAAACACAAAAATGTTAAAGCTAAATGTCATTGGTTGCTAATTACACTTTCTGGCCACCAAAACTTTGATTAATTCTGTAGTGTCTGTTCTCCTCAAGGCAAGCGTTTCACCCTCGACATTTAACAGAACTAAAGAAGACCTGGCATTGAATTTTCAAAGTGAAACAAAAGGAAAAACTGCACTATTTTCATTCATTTTGAGAATTAAGTCGGCGACACAGTGCAGTGTTGTTGATTAGCTTTATCAGAAAATATGCAGGTCATTTGTGAAAAGGGAAAGCTTGCCAAGACCTTCCATATGTCGCCCCGCACATTAGAAGTCCAGAGTGTTTGTACCTGTCCTAAATCCTACCACCTAATCCTTGAAGTGCGAGCCGTCAGAGCGTATGCTGCACCATGCCACTTCTTTCATCTTTTTCCAATTCTGCACCCTTTGCATGTCTTTGTAGTGCGGTCTCGTCGACTTTCACAAATGAGCATAGCAATACTCTCCTTTTAGACAGCTCCTGCTTTAAGGCATCATTTTGTTGCACTACAACGAATGAAAAGAAATGTATTTCCACTTTGGGATGCTGCCTGCAAAGTCAACAGTTTTATAGTCAGTTGTGGGGAATAAGAAAATCATCGGAAAACCCCCAAAGTGTACAAAGAGAGAAAAAAAAGCACAGAAGCGGGTATAGGTCTGTAGCCGGAGGTTACGCACTGTGTGAACAAGACGCCATCCAAAAGCTTTTTCATTAACATTTTGGCCGGATGTGTTCTGTATTTCTGATAGTTGTCCAAACATAGAGATAGTGTCACCTCAGTGTGACATTTCCGGCAGCTACAAGCGTTGTGGCGTCGGACATAAAATGTAATCTAAAAATATCACTTCCAGATAAAGAAAGGACTGGGCTTCTGTCCACAAAATTGCTCTCTACATACGTTTTTTTGGAAGAATTTCATCTTGCTTCAGAGGCCTCTGATTATGGACCAGAAGGCAGCAGTAAAATAATGCCAATTATGTCAATTTGAGATTCATAGCAGACATCATTTTAAAGCTGGGGTATCTTATTTTCAAACCACACATAATGGAACTATGCAATAGAAAACAGTTTGAAATGACTGATCCAAAGATGCTCGCCCAAAAATAACAAAAGTACCAATGTACAACACGGAATAGTGAAAGAGAGGACCACCCTCTCTCAGCCAATCAGCTCCCAGCCCAAAGCGTCAAATAGTGACTCACATGGTTCTGACAGCATAATGTGGTCTGATTTGTTCACAACATTATAGTTTTTCAAGAGTTTTTTTAATGTTGGGACAAACGCCATAGATGAATTATAAAACTAGATTTAAATAAACCTGCTTTAATTTTGATTTGAAGAAAGATTTTTAAAAATCTCATGAGATGGGTTTAAAAACTTTACAATGTAATTGTCTTTAATGAGAAAATGACACCTCTAAAACTCACTTTTGTGTGCGGCGTGAAAGTTTGCCGCACACAAACCTGACTGTCACAGCGAGTCGTGATGAGACTCAATAAGTGATGCCATTTCTTTGCCGCCTGTGGCTAATTAGCGCAGAATGGATATGGGGCACCTAATCAGGAGATTTTATTTGTCTGAACCTTTTACACCAGGAAGAGACATGAGATCTGTGAACCCTTAAACAAACTCAGCACCTGAAAGTGTCACATTTGAGGGTTGTACAACCTGACGTTTTGTCTTTCCCTGTGGAAGACACAGCACATTATTGTCTCCAAATTAGAGCGTGAACAAACCCTCTTTGGGCCATGTTAGCGAAGCAGCTGTTCACACAAACTGAGGCGTGCTCTTCAAATAAAGATTAATGACAGTTAGAAGTTACAAAATCATTGCGAAAAAGAAAGATTAATGCAGTGTTGAACTTCATTGTTACTTGGGTGTGAGAAAAAGTGGTTAAGTTCATGTTAAGTGTTGGTTTAACTATTGGAAATAAAACTTGGTACAAATGATAATAAGTATTTTATTATCAACAAGTATGCATTTGGAGCCAGGGTGGAGAACCAAATCAGAAAGATTATTATTTTTTGTTCCATGTTTTGTTAATGTGAAATTATATCTTAACTAGAAAATATATGGTGAAACACGTAAGAAAATAACTGGCTGCAGACACACCTAAGCGATTATTAAGAATGAAATGAAACAAATGTATGAGGAATACTCATACATTTTGTGTGATCACAAAATCATACTGTTACAGGCCTTGACAGGAGCTTGTACACTGAAGGGGGCGGAGTTTCATGTTTGTTCTAGAAGTTCCTGATATTATCAGGAGTCAAGATCAAGATTAAATGTATTTGCCATTTGCAGTTAAAAACCATATTGAATAATTGATCTAAAAACAACCCCCGGGTCTTTTTGATGAGGGAATGATGTTGTAACTCGGTGGTTTTTGCATCATAGGTCTCCTTTAAATGAAAAACTAACATTTAAACATACCAAATAAAGAGTAGCCCAAGCAGCCAACATTGGGGGGTATTGATTTCTTTACAGTCAATCCAACTCTACAACCACCATATTGTATTTTATGGCACTATCAGGTTTGACGTGGCCTTGAAAGATGAGCAGGTCTCCTGGCTGGCGCTGCAGACTATCATTTGACGAAAGCCTTGACACTTGCCAGCCAAAAAAAGATAAAACAGACGAGTCGCTTTCCGGCCTCGAAGGTAGAATGCACAAACAGCGCTCCCAGACTGCTGAAGTAGAAATGAGGAATGCTTTCCTGGCTTCATTGTTAACGACGTTAACTTTGTGTTATGACGCCTTTGAATTGTTTGACATTTTGCATTCTGAGTGAGTGTGAAATCTAAACTCTAAAAAAAACAAAATACAATTTGTGACGTTTTAGAGATTAAAATGATGATTCAGACGGACAATAAAGAATAGATAAAAAAGTTGCGATTAATCGCGAGTTACCCATGCCCTTCATGGCATAATCCTAATTAAAAAAGATAATGTTGGTCAGTGATGATAAAGAATTCAGATAAAAAGATATAGACGCATATGATAATATTGTTACATTATAGAAAAAGTAGTTTGACCAATCCTCTACTCATTGTATAAATTGTTTTTTTTCCCTGTGCTCAAATGGATTTAGCCCTGGATCACTAATTGTGGTCTCTGAGTCTGCGCCGGTCTGAAATCTTAGCCAGAGCCTGAATACATACATATGATTTTGGCTTCTTCCAGTCTTGGGTATGAATACCTCCTTTGAGACAAAAACTTTTGTCCCTCTGAGTTTTCAGTCTGTTCCTTGGGTTAGTTCCTCTGTGTTTCTGGTTATCATGGGTTTGGGTCCTCTGTGTTTCAGTCTGATCATGGGTTTTGTTCCTCTGTGTTTCAGTCTGATCATGGGTTTGGTCGTCCTCTGTGTTTTCAGTCGGATCATGGTTTGGTTCCTCTGGTGTTTCAGTCTGATCATGGGTTTTGTTCTATCTGTGTTTCAGTCCTGATCATGGGTTTGGTTCCTCGTGTTTCAGTCTGATAGGGGTTTGGTTCCTCTGTGTTTCAGTCTGATCATGGGTTTGGTTCCTTCTGTGTTTCAGCTGATCATGGGTTTTGGTTCCTCTGTGTTTCAGTCTGATCATGGGGTGTGGTTCTCCTCTGTGTTTCAGTCTGATCATGGGTTTTGGTCCTCTGTGTTTCAGTTGCTCATGGTTTGGTTCCTCTGTGTTTCAGTTCTGATCATGGGTTTGGTTCCTCTGTGTTTCAGTCTGATCTTGGTTTGGTTCCTCTGTGTTTCCGTCTGATCATGGGTTTGGTTCTCTGTGTTTCAGTCTGATCAGGGTTTTGGTTCCTCTGTGTTTCTGTCTGTTTGTGGGTTTGTTCCTCTGTGTTTCGTCTGTTCATGGGTTTGGTGTTCATCTGTGTTTAGTCTGATTGTGGTGAGTTTTGTTCCTCTGTGTTTCAGTTGATTGTGGGTTTTTTTCCTATGTGTTTCAGTCTGATTGTGGGTTTTGTTCCTCGTGTTTCAGTACTGATCATGGATTTTGTGACAAAGGCAAAGAGAAGATCTTCTGAAGAGGAGCAGAGAGGGAAGTTCCTACTGCGCTTCAGCGGAAATGCTGAGGGAGGAGTTACCTTCTCCATGGACGAGGAACACACCATCCACCGTCTGGTTCACTCAGGTTCTCAGTAGCAAGACGTGGTTTTATTTATCTTGCAAAAAGGCCTGTGTCGGTATCACTTGTCTCAGGACTTGAGATTGTACAGATGATAAAAGGAAGAGAATTGAGTTACTTTACTAAAAGACAAACATTTGAAACTACTACAACTTATGCTATTATCACTACTTAACTGCTACTAATACTTATAGTACCTGATAGTCTGCCACAAAAAAAGCACACAGGCCGTGAAGGTGCAGAAGGTAGATGTAGTGAGTGAGGGACCACTTTATTTACTTTTTTAAAAGTTAAAGTGAATCATTTGTCAGTCGAATAAGTGCCTAAATACTTAAATGTAAAAGTCGTTTCTAAATATAAGGCAGTGGAAATAGTTTTAATTCTAGATGTACTTCTAGAACTATTGACTGCTATAAACCGCTTTGTGGCGCAGGTGATAGAGATTAATACGGTTCGAACCTTTCACAAAAGCGATCTGGATCAAATTCCTTTTCATGATATAATTGGAACTTCCAGCTGATGGAGC